GCTGCTTGTGTAACTTGGTGAGCTCGGCTCGGCACTCCTTCAGCTCCTGTTTCAACGACTCGACTCTCAGACGGAGCTCAGCCACCTCACACTCCGAGTCTTTCTCCCCTCTCGCTTCCTCTTCCTCCTCCATCCAGAAAACTGGAACCGCGGCAGCGAAAGCTGCAGCGGGGACAACGCCTTCTTAACCGAAATGCTCGCAAACCACAATCTAAATCCGCCGGCCCTTTCTGATAATAGTCCTCTACTTGGTTTATAAACGGTCCAGACATCAATCAATCGAATACAGCCGGACTCCATGTTTCTTTCTTACCGTTTGCTTTATTTTCTCCGAGCGGGAGGCGATTTCGTCCTCAAAGCGGCGACCTGAAAAGTTGAACATAAACATCTTGTCACTTCCAAGCGTGTTGGATACAGCCCGGTACATGTTTTGAGGACAATTAGACAGTTACAGTTGAGGCAGCTGAAATGTTTACAGTCCACCCTGCTCGCAACCGCCATTAACTCACGGCGGAAGTGATTCTTCTTCGAGGTCCGGCGCCAGTTGCAAACCCCGCAGTCGCCACCTGGCGGCGACCGCGGTTAGTACCTGCGTCAAGGCCGTGAAATGTTCACTGTTTGTTTGTTGGTCTTCGAATTCTCTCCACTAAATGGAGCGGTAAGTAAGTCAGCCTTTAAACGTTTGTCCTATGTGCAGTTAAATACGTGTTTGTGGGGGTTTTTTTGGTTGTCAAGCGTGAGTCTTACGTTAAGAGTTAACTTTAGAGTGGACCCTGGGGGAAAACATGGATGCATGCGAGTCTTGTATGGATTTGGCTCGACACTGGTGGGTAATAAATGGACCCGAGCTCTCAGTGAGCCTCATGTATTGGACTACATAGAAACAATCAGTTGGGGGGGGAATCCAGTTGGTCTTAATGAGGTTTCAAATAGGTTTAGAGAAAATTATATCAAACTGGGTCATTGAGAACTTTGAAACTCAACTCGGTGAAGCACATTACATATATTAATAATTACACAGTGAGGGTTTTAAAGGCTGGTGACTTAACAGCTAAAGAAAATGTAAAAACAAAACAAAAAAAAATAAAATAAATTTAGAACTATATTTTCAGACCAGTAAAAAACTGTTTTAAAACACAACTGTGGGGTTAAGAAAAAATATGTTTAATACCTGGTTTAAAGGTTATTTTCAAATAGTACTTTCATCTAAGAAAAACACATTTACATATAACTCTAAGGAGAGTCTACATGTTTTAAGATCCTGTATATGAAAATCACTTGCAGCCATTATGTAGTTGCTTACAATCTTCTGACGTTACTTTGGCCCATTTACCGCCAATATCTGATCTGCATGTAAAGTGCTGATTGGGTAGTCAAGGTTAAAACGCGGGATTTTACTGACATCAAGTAGAAACTAGTAGTCAGTATTATTATGGGATAAAAACGAGTTGAGATAGCTGCTTTATCAACTCGTCATGGTTTACTTTAGAAGACTAAAACCACGAAACAATACAACACCTTCAGAGGACAGAAATAAAAAAGACCAATAAATGAATAATAATAATAAGTATAATAATGAAAAGAGAGGGACTGAGGAACAGGGCCTATTTAGTATGTCTCTGGACTAGACACTGTTTTGCTGCCCTACACATGTTGTTTTCTCAATTATTAATGGAAAGCATTTGCTGACAACACAGAAATCAAACCCTTCTTAAAATCGCTGACCATCTTTTTATTTGTTTGTTTGTTCTGGTATTTTCACAGTTTATCTTTGGCGATGATGAGCACAAAGACTTTGCGTTTTGAAAGGCCTTCTCATCATCATGCTGATCTTTAGTGCCGCCAAGGCTGGGGACACTAATGTCGCTACTTGCTGATTCCAAAAAATCATCTATCTAGACTCCTAAGCCGTGGACTGTACTGAGACAGGCTCTTTTCAGATCATGAAACATTTAATGTACGTCTTACAACAGGGAAATTGATATTGGACACAGAAGGAGGAGCTTGCCTAGTTTGTTGGCGCTTTCATGGCATTAGTACTACAAAGAAATCTCTATATATTCTGATGTAACATTATTATTTTTTTAACAGACAGATCTTTGTTGTCCTCAGTGTATATTTTCAGCACTGGAAAACATTTTAAGGAAATCCAGGTTTCGATTTCAGTGACAGACATTGACCACTAGATGTCAGCGAAGCCCATAAAATCTGGAAATAATTTCCAGAAGACATGAGTAAAAAAAACAACAAAAAAAGTACCATATATAGATTTGAGTTGTGTCCTTTTCACCACAGAGTAGCGGAAAAATAATGCGGTTGTAAGCATCTGTTAGCAGTTTTCCGGCTTGTTAAAAATAGCTCTTTACATTTCCAGCTGGTGCCACTTAAAAGTGGAATACAATATTAGATTCTTCCAAAGGCAGAAGCATGTATTTCATTGTGCTGACTCAAGCTGATTTGAGCCCATTGCTGTTCCTCTCCCTTATTCCTAATTCTCATCTGTATCTCTCCCTCTGGTTAGATTTGGGTTGCTCCTTTCCTCCCGGTCTTCTTCCTCCACTTGACAGTTCTTCCTCCTTTGACCTTTCCACTCCTTTGTTTGTATGTTCAATAATTTCCTGGAATGTCTGGTTCTGTCACATAGATTTACAGGACATAGCCAAAGCCAAATTATGTAGACTGATCTTAGGCCGGCAGGAAGCACTGTTGCATAATCACGTGGCTTCTCTGTTGTCTTTTGTTTTATTTATGGAGAGAAAATATATAAAGGATTGCAGTGTACCTAAAGTAAAAACCAACATTTCCCCCTTTTATCAATTATGTCTTTTGTGCATATTTGTTACAGCAAGGTAAATCAGAAACGACCCACAGACTAAACAAATTTGGATCATTGGTCACATTTTTGCGAAAGCCTAAACAGAATTCAGCAAGTTTGTTTTACGTCGTATTTAAGGGGCTTACTGTTTTCTTGAAAACGCCTGCAGGGTTCCTCTTGCTGTGATTGAAATCTGAGCTCTTTTGGGTTGTGCTTGGATTCTGGTGGAGCGTCAGACGTCTTTGGCAAGAGCTCTGAGGCTCGTGTTGGTGGTGGGAGAGCAGCCTTAAAGAATCGTCTGGCCTTGTCAGCAGGGCTCCTTCTGCTGCCCAGTGATGCTTATAGATGCCAGTTTTAGACAAGAAAAGTGTGGGACTAGATAAGCAACGAGTCAGTTCACAATTTCTTTTTCACTGCTTGGCAAAAATGGTGCTGATTTTGTTTTTTGTTTGCTTTTCCGTCTTTAAATAACAGTGTAATATTTAAGATGGAAAATGTTTGCTGTTCCCTCAGGAAAATCCTTTAGACGTTCTGCAGTTAATGCGTGCGCTGTTCCCGTTAGCTCCAACCACAAGCCCAGCGTTGATCGCAAAAATAAGTGGGTAGAACAGAAACTCCTCCCTTTCTGGTATAATGTGGAAACTCTGAGTCTGATTGAGGTTATGTGTCCTTGCTCCTTCATGGAATTTCAGAAAGTTTGCTCGCTCCGCTGCTGCACAGCAAAAATATCTGGCCATGGAGAGCAAAGCACGGAAAGGTTTCCACCAAGGGAGAAATGAAATTAAGAAATGGCTCAGAAACATTTAGAGTGTGAAAAAGGCTGGTAATTCACAACAAGACTATCTGTGAACACAAGGGTCTTAATTTAGCCTTTCATTGACTTTGCCATTGTTGTGACAACTTTCCAAAATACTCTGCAAAGTATTTTTTAATGACTTCTGAAGAATTGTGTAATTTAGTAAGGACCAATATCATAATTCATGGGATTTGTTTTCATTTACAGAAAAAAATCTTCTACACACACTCTATTAAAAGACACTATTATTACTGCAAAACATTAAAATTGACGACATCTTTTTCAGAACAATTAGGATTATCAAAACTGTTTGTATTTGCTAAATGCCAAAATAATGACAGGTTTTGTAGGTTTTTTTACTCTCAAGCTTAGGAGGAATGGATCAAAAATCCAGGAGACTATTTTTAGGAATTCACAAAAACGTCCTAAAGTTTGAAGACAATGCTATCAAAAATTATTATTATTATTATCATTATTATTAAAATGTATGTAAACTTCTAACATTGAAGTAATGAAAAAAATCATTATTTTTGCCTTTAGTAAATAGAAACTATCTTGTGAATCCGAACTGATCTGAAGGTTAGATTCTGGATGAAAATAAATTAAAATTTTTATGTGTAAACTTATTTATGTGAGCTAAAAACTGAGAGTCTGAAGATATTTGCTCCAAAATACCGAAAGGCAGAGAGACACTATACGCTGTTTGTCACACAAATTGCAGATAAAAGAAAAAAAGAATCAGTTTTCTTCTCCGTCAAACATGCTTCAATCCCAAATCTCCTCAAACCTTAGGCGGCAGGAAGCTTTTAAGTCTAAAAAACCTAGACTTGTGTTTTGACATAGTTTTATTTGTGAGATATAACGGTTTAAAAACATGCTCCAGCTTTTGGGGAATATTTTAGATTGAGTTTATACCAAATTCAAGGTGTGGGTTTTATGTTCTCCGGAGGGATCTGACATTAAACCATTAACCATACCCTGATGGCAGACACATTTTAAGAAATGGGACAAAATGCCAACAATTTTGATAAAAGAATAACATTTTTAGGGAGGTTGTTTGAGGCTGTTTGGTAAAAGTCAACTGAATACGCTTTCTAGCGACGATGGAAATCAGTTTATTTTAGTGAAATGTGTCAAAAAAAAATTTCCAAAAACTTTCACCTGCGAAAGTGAAACTTTCCACAAACGTTTTGTGGTGTGCCTTCCTGAATGTATGTTGAAAGTGTTACGTTCTAAAGAGCACCATTTTTCCATTTACATTTTTCTTTTATGTTAGAATCTCCTCAATTTGTCCAGTTTTTTTTTTTTTTTTTTTTTGGGGCATTTTTTTTGACTCACTCCTCAAATATTCCCAAGCATTTTACTCATCACCATGCCACCGAGTAATTACTCTGCCTAGTGGTTTAGTGTTTCCTCTGACAGATTGAGCCCAGCAAGGTAGTTCTCTTGAGGCTGTCCAACAGAACTGGTTCCCCCGGTCATGCATGCCTTCCTGCCGCAGCGTGGAAGAAACAGTCTACTGTTGAAAGCCTGAGGGAGGGGGGACTAATAAGTCTTTAAGATCCAGCCCCCACATTCCTAACCTCTCTCTGGACTATAAAACACAGAGCCCCAAGAGTTCAGCTCCTCCTCTACCTTCTACTCCTCCCTCTGTGTTTGTTTTGTGGCCCTTTTTTTTTTTTTTACTTCAGAGTAGAGGAGCAGGCTGACAGGGACGTACCATTCTTCAACCACAGGGGAAGTCATCAAAGCAGCCGTGAGTTTTAGGGCTTACAGCTCACTTCCTCCACCCCCACTGCAGTTTTTGCCTGTGAGCTGTTCCGAGGTGGAGCCGGGAGGATGGAGGAGGTTCAGAGGAGAAGAGAGAGAGAGAGAGAGAGTCAGCAAGGCATTTGAGAAACCAGCTGATCAGAGCTGAGGTATTCTGCCACGGAGGGACTTGTCAGCGTGTCTGGAAATTTCTAACAGGTGAAGACGGAAAAGCAGGGTTGAAAAAAGAGAAAGAGAGAGATGTCTCCTCTTCATGTGAATCTGGGAACTCATGGAGAGCTGTGAGAGGGGTGGAAATCTGAAGAAGAGAGTGAGAGGTGTACTGGAAGCCAAGCCCTGGTTACTGGTGAGTCAGCTGGAGGCTGGAGAACTTCGTCGAATAAGGAGCAATGTCTTGGCTGTCTCCGGTGTCATGGGCCAAATGGACGTGGACGGCGGTGCGAGGGGGAGAGGAGGATGGAGAAGGGCAGGAGGCCAACGAGGAAAGGGAGCAGTGGCGAAGGAGAGAAGAGGAAGAGGAGGAGGAGAGATCTCACGGCAGCAGGCAAGTGTTGTGCTGAAGCCCCGAGACTCCAGGCAGAGTGGTTCACATCGTCAGCGCAGGAGGAGTGGGGACTTCTGTCCACGTGCCTCTAACCCACTGGATTGGGAATCTAAATTTTAGTGACAAATTGGTCGAGACATTTTGTGAAGTGCTGGCGTGTCTCTGTTGGGTCTGTGCTTTAAGTTGTCCCTAACTCTCTTTCTTTTGCTTCATAACACCAACACTTATTTCTAACAGACACTCAAATTCACACAGGATTCACTCGAAACCTGCAAGCACGTGTTGTAATCATCAGTGTCTGTGCCTCGTGTCCACGGTGATAATATTATCTCTGCTTCTGTTCCACCTTGATACAAACATGACGACGACTTTCAGGAGACTTCCACCTCTCCATTTCTGCACTGATACAGCATCAGCTCCCTGTATTAATATATTGACCTTAAGGGTCAATAAATTGATTACATCACAGAGATAAATCTGACCTAATCTGTGCTGTAAATTGTCAGCATCGAGAATGGCCCCTATATCTTAAAAGGCGTAATGTTTTATGTTTTCTTCTGCATTTCTCGTGTCATAAACTGTGCCTCTAACCCAGAGTGTGACAGGAAACACTAGGCTGTCCTACATCTACTTCCTCTTTCTTTATGTATGCCTTACTTTGGCTTTGGTTACTCTTTCTCCTGTAGTTTCAGATTAGATAGTGTTACTACGTTTCTACAATGACGAAGAGCGAAGTTAAGCTCAAGATAGATGAGTTTGGTGAATCAAATAAACGTGTAATAAGTTTGAGGTTTTAGTTTTGTATAGTTTTTACCAGCACAGGAGGTTTTGCAAGATCATGTTAACTGATTACATAATAGTCACAAATCCTAGGATTTTTGCTTTTAAAGCTTTCAGTATGTTTTTATGATAAATTCTTGCATAATAACAGTAATAGTAGTACAGCTATTTCTGTTTGAGAAGATGCATCACAACCGCTGATTCTTGGCGTTCGTAAGATGACTTTTGCCCTGGAGCTGTGTGATAGTTTTTCCGCTTTCTCTCATGTTTTTCACGTGCTGCAGCTCGGACTCCGAGGGTCATTTTGACACCCCTGAAGCAGCGACTCCCGTCCGCGCCCCTCAACCCGTCCCAGGAGAGCTGGAGAACAACAACACCAATGCAGGCAAAGCAGGTGAGCGACAACAGGCAGAAGGAGAGGAAAGAAAACAGGAGGAGAAAGAGCAGCCGAGAAGAGCAACATCTGTGGCTCTTCAGGAAACCTGGAGGTTCTTATTAACGGTTCAGAGATCTCGACAATCTAAGGGAAGTGCATGTTCAGAAAGGAATAGTTTGGGCACTATTCTTTTTTTCTCAAAGGTTGCCATGGAAACAAGAGTCATTTGATGTTATTGGAGCGTCTGAATATTTAGTGGAAAAGAAAAAATGCTGTTTGGTCGTGAAACATCCTTAACTTTTAGTCGGAAATGTGATGAAACTATAGCTGCACGCTGTCAGTTATTTCAAAAATGCAGCAAGACATAATTTTTTGATTTGTTTTGTTTTTGTAAATTTGACGTTGTGTAAATGTTGATGTATCCTATTGTATTATAGAGAGTCCATGTAGTGTTTGCCAAAGGTAAACAAGGTTATTCAGCACCTGAGCAGGCAGTGAACTGCCTCCTGTGTGCCTGGTATTTAGGCTGGAATGCGCACAGTTTTTAGTTGGGATTGTTTTTGGGCGTGATCACGTCTGATGCTCCGTCTCTGTCATTTGATTCAATAAGAGGAGGGGCTTGTGGAGGAGTGTGGGAATGACCTTTGCTCCTGAATTCAACAGGTTGAACAAAAGCTCTGAGCTTTGGTTCGCTCTGCTTTGTGCTGGACACCAACGGAGGTCACAGCGACGTAACGTAGCATGTGAGAGCATGTTTTTAGGCGGTTTGTATAGAGAGTTCATTGCATTGTGTGTGAGGCCGCTGCTGGTTCGGAAGAAATAAACCCTTCCTGTAAAACGGCTCCAGCAACTTTTTCTAAAGGTGAGGTATCTAATCAGAAAGAAGAAAATGAATTGCTTTAGCAATGTTATCATTAAGATTGGTGGGATACGACTAATTTCTGGAGATTTTCTTGTCATGGTGGTTAATAATGAGCTGAATTTACCTTCTGGAGAACCTTGAACAGCATTCATTTTTTTAGCTGATTTTTGTTTTTAAATATGTTTTTGGAAAAAACTCAGAAAAAAGTGGAATTTTTTCACAGGTTTGCACAGAATTTCAGAAAAACAGTGCACCGGTGTGATTAACTCGGGCTGCTTCAGGACCTGGAAGGTCGGCTCATCACACTCAAGCTCACTTAGGGTTATGCAGCAAAACAACAATCCAGATGACACCAGCAAGTGCAATTCTGAGTGTTTCAAATGAAGAAGGTCTCAGAGTGATGTAGTCAAAGTTCAGACATAAATTGGATGGATATGCTGTGGGATGACTGATCGTTTATGCTTGAAAACCCTCCAATGAGGCTGAACTAAAACTATCCTGCAGAGAGGTTCAACATCTCGCTCTCTCTCTCTCTCATGTGATTGAAAAATACTCTTCCAGGCATCACAAACCCTTGATGCCAATTGTTTCAACCAAGATAGGCACAATCAGTTATAAAGATTAGGAAGCAAATAACTTTTCCACATAAAGCCAGGTTGGGTGGGACAGATCTTCCCAATAATAAAAATAAACCATGAAATAAAAATTGTGTTTTGTATTTAATAAGGTTTTCTTTGTCTGATCTAGCATGTTTACTTATTTGAAAGGTAGCTGTGACAAAGGGGGCAAATACTTTTTCACAGTACTGTGTTGCTGATTATTCAAGTGTGTAAGGAAATGCACGTGTGTTTGGGATTATGTTAGGATGTCAACACTTGCAACACAGCATGGTGACATAAAGCTGGTTTAAGCAGAGCACGCTCTGCTCGTCTCTAGGCAACATGGTGTTGTATGAACAGGGTGATGATGATGATGATGATGATGATGATGATGATGATGATGATGACAGACATGCTGAAATATGCTGCACTGTCAAAATGTTCTCTGGAGCCAGCATTCAGACCGTTCTGTTATGTATTTAATTTTTATGCAAGACGCAACACAAGATAAGTGAAGGTCTGTTTTGTTTTGTGTTTTCGATTGCGGCGCTTTTGCTTTAATATTGTGGCACTCATAGTAGACATCACCCTGGCAACAGCAGCAACTAGAACAGTTGGCTGGTGAGTAACCTGCTTTCGGTCAACCAATCAGATATCGTCCACATCCAAGTTTACACGTGGCAGCAGAAATCCACTAGCAACATGTCGACTCTTGAAGCATGGTGGTTCTGTGAAGTAATTTTTGGGGTTTTGTTTCTTCTTCAGATTTGGAGCAGGAGGAGAACCTGATAGTGCCTGTTCCTGTCAGGGATCCAGAACCTGCACTGGGCCACAACATGGGTCAGGATGAGCCTGCCGTCCCTGTGGGAGATCAGCTCGAAATAAATGACCAAGACCAAGCAGAGCAGCCCTCGGAAAACTTGGATTCTTTTCCCGGTCCTGATTCAGCCTCACTGAAGGAAGAAACTCGAAGCACAGCTCTCCTTTCTGAGCCATTTGAAGAGACAAACTTCCTCCATGAAGCATACCCAGTCGCAGATCTGGCCCCAGTTCCAGATACTACTTTTATTCCAGAACCAGACTTTGTTCCAAGCAATGAACCTTCAGTTCAGAATCATACTTTTGTCCCTCAACCTGACTCAGTACCAAGCAGTGAAAGCAGTGAAACTGCAGCATCGAGTGCTTCACAGCCTCCAGAGGAGAAACCTGTTGCTGATCTAGAGGAACATCACAGCAATCTCCCCAGCCTTGCAGAACCTACTCAAAAGACAAAAACTAGCAAGTCCAAGCCTCCATCCTTCAAAATAAAGGCTCCAGTAAGTCCTCCTCCTCATACAGATGAGGAACAAGAACTCCCTGTTCCCAAGGCTGCATATAACTTTGACCTTGACCAACTGGATGACAGCTTCAACCCTTTCACCAGTGGCGGATCCAAAATCCAGAACTCTCCTCCACCGTGTGGTTCAAGGTCTCCCCCCAGGCTTCAACAACTTGGGAGCTCGTCATCTGCTTGTGAGTCCACCAAAAATGCTCAAGGAGACTCAGAAATTATAGATCAGTCTTTAGAGGCAAAGCCTGTGGTGCTGGAGTTTGGTCTAGGTGAAGGAACGGTCAGAAAGCCCCCTCCAAAGAAATTAGGAGGGAAAAGGGCAACCAGCAAGACTGCTGCAAAGAAGCAGAAACCAAAAGACTCAGAGACTTTTTGCGAACCAGCACCAGAAGCGACGCATCCTGAACCGGTGTTAGAAACGGCACCAGAATCGCTTCCCCAATCTGTTTCCGAGCCTGTTTTAGAACCACTTTCAGAACCCGTAACTACAGACTCCTCTGCACCTCTGAATCTGGATGATGTTCCTATTCCCAAAACTGGAACTTACAACTTTGACCCCAGTCAATGGGACGACCCAAACTTCAATCCATTTGGTAGCAACAGCAAAGTGAGCAGCTCTCCTGTGCTGCCAAAGGGCTCATACAGCTTTGACCCAGACAACTTCGACGACTCCACAGACCCTTTTAAAGCATCAAAATCCCTGAACAACGAGGATTTGTCCAGCAGCACCTCCCAACCTGAGACAAAGGTAAAAGACCAATGCAAACAGAAGGCAAGGCAGACCCCCGGGGAGAAGAAAGCAAAGCAGCTTCCAAAGAAAAACAAAGAGAGAGCATCCACGTAAGTCTCCTTTTTACACAAAATGTTACAAGCGCGTAGTCCAGCAACCTTCATATTCAGTCATTTTCTTACATCGCCTTGCAAAGGTTTTCACACCCCTTGAACCTTCTCACACCACAAACTTCAATGACTATAATAGGGATTTTTTGAATAGGCCAACACAACATAAGAAGCGTGTGTATAATTGTTAAATAGTTTTCTTTTTTTCCAAACGAAGATCTAACCAGTGTGTCAGACTGAGTCAGTACCTTTCTAGGACTGTGAGGGCTATTCTATTGGTTTATGTCTCTTCCGGTGTTTCACTCCCACAAACTCAGTATTTGGCACATTGTTTTCTTTATTTTTTTTAAAATTATTATTATTATTACAAAATAGCCTAATGGTGCGTTCACACCAAATGAGTTTTGAGCATCAGGCATGTCTGGTTTACGTTCAAATCCTATGTGGAGTATCGGACCCGTTGGACACGCTTGATGCGTCAAATCAAACCGCTCCAAATGGTTCAGATCCCATCATGCTAGACTGTCGAAACGCAGCATGTTTTCTTATGAAAAAGCTTTTTTTTAAGTATACAACTTATAATTATTTACAAACTCATTCTCCCAGATGGCACCCTATTACTGAATTGAGAATTTGAGTGAATTTAGATTGCAGCCTTGCACTGGATTTTATTTATGAGTAAAGGTAAATAAAACTGCTCCCACACTTTCAAAATTTTTATCAGTGAAAATCATTAAAACACCAAATCATCTTTGTTCCATACTTTATAAAATGTCAATAAAATGCACTGAAGTTTGTGGTTGTGATGTGATTCAATGTGACCGAGTTCAGGGAGTAAGAACACCATTTCAAGGCATTGCAAAGGTCTGATCTGGCTCTTCCTTGCACTGATTCACTGCTAACAATAATATGCATACCAAAAGATACTTTGAAGGCACAGAGAATACGCTGCATACCAAGCTACTAATAAACTGAGACATAAATAGATTGGTAATGTGCTTAGTGCTGCAGTGATTAGCTGCATATGCTTGAACTTTAATCTACCAGCTAAGTAACTAACATGCTGACACCTTTTACTCACTCATACCCTCTTCCTTTGTCTCTCGGCTTTCTTTATCCTCCATGGCTCCCTTGTCGAAACCTTCCCTGCTTTATTCCCCTCACCCTCCATCTTTCCTCGTGTTGTGTGTCGCGCAATCCCCCAAAATCTTTGCTTTCGTTGGTCCACTTTTATCGACCTCAGGACATCTGAGCAAGTCAAGTTTCTCTGTTTTCTGTTGTAAGTACTTTCTCTATCAAGGCATGATTCCACTCATTCTCATCGGTGCATGTTCTGTGTCTGTACTGATTGTTGGCATCGAGGTTTTTATCCTCATCACAGCATACTTTAGCATTCTAATTTGCTGTATTTCTTAGCATGATGTTTCCATTTGTCTCGCCAAATCTTATGTTAATGTTCATAGAAAACAGGAAAAATAATAACCTTTCAAAAAATAATATTAATGATAATATATTCTCATTTGCTTGTTTTGCAGGAATTCCTGTAAAGTCCAGAAATATGATGAAAGCGAGTCGCTCGTCCTCGACGTTTGTAGTCAGGTAATGTTTTCTTCTATCTGGTTGCTTCACTGGGAATGTTTTACCTTCCTGTAGCATCACTGCAGTATTTATTATTCAGCTGCTGTGCAACCTCTTGGCCTCAGCATATTTATACACACATACAATCACACTGAGTTACACAAATTGAGTGAGGCATCAGTTTTGTTTCCAGCGCTGCGGTCCAGTCTTGGCCTGATTACAGAGCTGTGACTTATCACTCTGCAGTCAAATATTACTCTGGTGTGCTCATGCCCTCAATAATAAAGAAGATTGGAGAAGATTTATAGCTAAAGAGAACTTTGGATAATTAAGGCTGTCAGGACCAAGGGACTGAGGCCTTAAGTCAATTACAAATTAAACCTTTCCCATTAATTTTAAAAAGGTGGAGTAAAAATACAAAACGCTTCTGTTACATTAATTTGTAGTTTTTTTCCCCCCACAAAATGAATAAATGTTGAATAATTTCATGCAAAAAAAATTAGAAAATTCATCTCAACATAAAAAAAAAGATGCATTTATTTGAAGGCTTTTTTTTTTACACATCTATACTAGGAGAGGTAACAAAGTGGAGAGCACTGCAGTTAAGGATCAGATATTAAACATGCAGAAAGTAAACTCGACTGTAATAAAGTTAATGTCTCCCTCTATCACTTCCAGGGCGAAGACGAAGTGGTGGTTCAAACCCCAGAGATCACTCAGCGGGTTCATCACGCCACAGACGAGGAAAAACTGGCCTCCACCGGCCTGATTGGCCAGACGGCCGACAGTCAGGAAGAGAGAGAGGAGCAGGAATGCAAAAAAGCAACTGTGAAGAAACAGCCGTCCAGCGATTTACCTGCTGTCGATCGTAAGTTCAACAGGGCAGAAATTCTCCTCAGAGGACTCGAAAGTTTAGAAAAATTCATGATATTGAATGAAACAACACCCAAAAGAGATGCTTAATATTGTAAATTAAAAATGTAGCATTGACTGTATGCTACAGTTTTTCAAACTTTTCTCAGCAGCGGCTTTTTAGAACGTCAGACTGCAAAGTTAAAAAAAGAAAAAAAGATTCTGCTCCCGATAAAATAACACTATAACTGAGGAAAAACAACTTTCTGCATCTCTACATAAGGACATATCTTTTTAAGTTGTGCATGTATTGTTTTAGTTTAGTTTAATTGTTTAATGAAAGCAAGATATAAGCTACTCAGTTATTTGTTTTTGAGTTGGTAAAGCTAATTTGGCATTTTTTAACATTATAGGCTAAAAAGAAAAACTATAACTTCAGTTTTTATTGATAGATATAATAAATACAACCCAGTTATTTCTTTGGTGTTTATGTTTTGAATGTCCAGAGATCAAGATTACAGATCATCTGCCAGAGAAGGACACCTTCAGCGAGAAAGATGATATCGTAAGTGCTGCAAAGCGACCACATAAATTATTCAGTGTGACTGGTTTCTTCTGCATCAGTTGTTTTTGATCTCCTTATCTGTTGAAAAATGACGATCAGTCATAATTTTAAATAATAATTTTCATGATGCCTTCCTGACACCACACATATGCCACGCAGACTACACAAATTAAGCGTCCGTTTTGACCGAGTCGTATTCATAAAGAGGCCTGGTGAAATATTTTCCTGCTCCGCTGCGTTTTCAGTTGTTTACGAGTGTGAAAGTTGTTGAATGCTCGCACATCAGCTCACGTTGGTGTTTGTGATCTTCTGCAGACTGATATATCAGTGCACCAGACTGAAAAACTGAGCAGCCGTGACGACCCAGACCCAGAAGCCCTATCGCAAGACGGCGTCCCTCTGACCGAAATGGACAAAGCTGCGGTGCTGACCCTGATCAGAGAGGAGGTATGTCGCTCCCACATGCAGAGACACTGAGCACACAAAATGAAACTTCAATAAGTTCAACTTATTTTTTTGGTTCACAATATCATTCCATATTTTGAATCTATCTATTTCCTTTAAAACAGATCATCACTAAAGAGATTGAGGTCAGCGAGTGGAAACAAAAATATGAGGAGAGCAGAGCGGAGGTTATGGAAATGAGGTGGGAAGCTTCTGTTTCGATGAGAATTTTCCTTCCTTTTCCAGAACGACACAATTCTTCAAAAAATGCTAAAATAATACTGGGATGCTTTTTGTTTGACAGAAAAATAGTTGCAGAATATGAAAAAACTGTTGCCCAGATGATTGGTAAGTTGCTGCCACCTGGTGGTGGATATTTCTTTATACTCTTGTTTATTCCTCAAACTTTTAATCTTAAGTATGTATATTTTGTCCCTGTGGTCCCGAGACACATGTTTCAGACTGATCAGTAACAGGCTACCTCTCTCAAATTTGTAAAGTCACAAAGCCATGTTGGTAGGAGATTTGAATGAGTTTTAGCACAAGAAATATTTTAAAGTGTGTCACTTTAAAATGAAGAGCACAAGGAAATACTTGGTATCTCCCTTTGTTTCCTCCTGCCTGAATGCTGCCAGCATCACCTCTTACTTGTTTTTGTGATCTTTCACCTGCGCTCTCGTCTTCAGGAAGCACATGATCAGTGACACTGAGGTCGAGTTACTAAGTTCAGTAACAAACGCATTGTGAGGTTTTTAATGTCCACTTCTTCTGGGACATCGTGATACAACAAAGGGCCATGATTTTGCTATTCTCTTCTGTGAATCAGAAAATTTTGAAGCTTTTTGTTCTGTTTCAACCCTAAACCTGCATGCATTTTTACTGGGATTTTGTGCAACAAATTAGTGAGCGTGATTTGGAATAACTGTTAACTTTTTTTTGTTAATGAAATAAGATCTGAACAAGCCCTTATCAGATAGTAAAGGAGAAGACTAAATCATGGTTTGGTTATAAAACAACCCATTAATGTAGTGTTGACTCAACTTTGAATAAACTAATCACTCAAACTGGGAACTCTGGGGAGGAGCAATTTCTCAGAGAAGCAGCCAACTTGAGGTATTTTCTCAACATGCATAAAAAGAACCACAGACAACGTTTATTCATTTTCAAACAAGCCTTTTGCAAAAGTGAGAAGACATAGAAAACTGCTCCTTCGAACAGCTCACCATGTGTTCTGACTCTCTTCTTTAAGGCTTGTCGAAGAGGGGCTAAGCAAAAGAATGGGGGCTATTCTGATAACAAGAATAGGAGAACACAGAAACTACGTTCTAAACACAGGAAGTTTCACAAGTGAGGAGTTTTCCGGTAGACAGGAAAACAGCAGCAGAAAACATGTCCAAGGTTAAGACAAAAAAGCAAGTTTTGTCTGGCACATGGTTTAACACTAAACCTTTAAATGAAAAACAAACTAGTAAAACTACTAATGTAAGAATGATACCTAAACATAATTATAGCAACACCAACACTGGAGGAGCTGCAGAGATCAACCAGTTCAGTTCATAGGGCAATTATTAGTTATACGTTTTCAACAAATCAATCAATCAAGTTTATTTGTGTAGCACATATCAGCAACAAGGCAGTTCAAGGGGCTTTACATAAAAAAATCACAAAAATACAAAGCCACACAGTCAACAATTGGGAAAACCGGCAATTACATTCTGTCGGGTCCCATCATTACACATCAAAATGTTGATCCGTGTTTCATTCCTTATGGTTCAAAAGCAACTCTGAACAGGAGGATTTTAGTCTAGATTTAAAGAAACTCAACCTAAATCACCTGAAGACTTGAAGATTACAGTTCAGAAATGTGTTGAAGATCACTGAGATCTTGCACAAAGAAAAATGGGCCCAAAAATTAGTCTCTAGCAATAGAAAGCTACAACTATATCAAAGATTTCAATGCAAATGCACTCTGCACTTTTAAGTTTTTAATGGTGAAACATTTTGACACCGCATGAAGTTTTTGGTTGTGATATGACAAAATATTAAAACATTCAAAGAGTATGAATGCAGTCATTTAACGTCGTGTACTCAATAGTATAAAGACACACTCTGAAAGTTTGCCAAGACGCTCTTTACTGAACCCATCACATGATCTTAGACAGTAGCATGCATTCTGAAGCTATCACTTGTGTGCTTGCAGAGGATCAGCAGCAGAACAAGAGCCTCTCCTCCAGTAAGTCGGTCAGGCAGCTGACGTTGGAGCGCGATCAGGCCGTGGCCGACCTAAACTCTGTGGAGAGATCCTTTGCAGATCTCTTCAGGAGGTATGAGAACATGAAGGGAGTCCTGGAGGGCTTCAAGAAGGTTGGTTGTGAATATTCTCAGATGTAGAGCATAGTCATGTGACGTAAACATCCACTGACATGCCTTGTAAACGTGCATTCAGAATGAGGAGGTGTTGAAGAAGTGTGCGCAAGATTACCTACTTCGTATCAAGCAGGAGGAGCAGCGATATCAAACGTTAAAACTGCACGCTGAGGAGAAACTGGACAAGTGAGATTTACTTATTTCCTTAAATCTTTACGATGAGCCACAACGTTTGCCTTCATTTAGTTTTATCCTCTTGTCGTTAACGTCCTCCCTGTCAGGGCCAATGAGGAGATAGCCCAGGTGCGCGCAAAGGCTGACACAGAGAGCGTGGCGCTGAATGCGAGCCTGAGGAAGGAGCAAATGAGGGTGGAGTCCCTTGAAAGAGCTGTCCTTCAAAAGGTATGGAGACTGTAAAAAATATACAACAGATCCACCTCACTTTGTGAGTCTGTACTCTGGGAACGCTAGAAGACCACTTTGTGCATTGTTAGAGGGAAATGTAGATTTTGTTTTGTGTTTCTCAACTGTTAGTGTGAGAAAAGATGCTTCGTGCAATGTGCTTCAGCATTAGTACGCATTAATGACTGTTTAAATGGTACGTAGGAATTATGAAGGAAAACAACTCAAACCCTGTAGCAATTTGTGGTTTTTGTTTCCATAACACGGTTCAAACCACTTCAACAAGCTTCACTGGTTCCCATCAGCGCTCTTTGCTTTGCTTATTTTTTTTATCTAAACAGTGGTGGAGAATGTTTGATTTTTTAGATTATGAACCGTTCCAGGGAAATGGATTTCTTCTTCTCTTTTGTTAACAGTATTCAGTTCTTGATTGGATGTTTTTTGGGGTTTTTTTTGTTCATGGTTTTAATGTATTTATAAAGATACCTAATCTGTGAGAGTTTTAATGTGGCAGTCACCCACTGGTGCTGGAAGACTAACACTCCCACTAGCATGGACACGGTTTTCACGCTGTCTAAAATGCCACAATGTAATGAATAATCAATATTAAATGTGTCATTTGTGCAATTTAATGAACTGGTCAAATATATAAATAGAATTTCATAAAATCTGGAGTCATAAAATCCTCAAATAGATCTAACAGAAACATTTAAATACATGTGATGATGCAGTACATTTCATAATCGTACAATAATTCAACTGCGGGCTAATTAGAGACGGGGCTTTCTATTAATAAAATAAAAACATTTTTAAATGCAGCATATTTAATTTATGGTGTATGTAATCAGTTTTGTTTTTTACTGTTTTAATTAAATAATTTATTGAAAGATTAAAGTCGTTCTTCTTTCTTTCATTGATTTATTGAGTCGTGGCGCCGCCACCTCTAATGTAAATTCACTCTCCAAAGTGCTGCTGCAATAAAACTCAACACTAGAGGGCAATGTTTCACTTCAATCAAGAAGCTTAGTGAGATTTTATTTTGGGTCATTTCTAACATTTCTTCTCACAACTCAAAAACAGGGAAAAAATAAATACACAAATAAACAATATATAATTTGTGTCAATGCAATGGCAAGAACACAATGTATACAAATTCTAGCTAAATCTTAGACAAATTCATAAAAAAGTAAAAACTGATCATCAAACCTTGCTGTATTTGTTTGGCAAATGCTGTTTATACCTATTTTTATTTAAAAGTGTGAAAAACACAGTTTTAGCTTCACGCAACTCCCTCTATCTGATCTACATTTGTTTTTAATATTTGTCCTGAACTTTGCATTTTTTTAAACGAACCTTTCTCGCTCAATTTATACTTTGACTCTTTAATTTCCCAGCATTTGTACACCATCAACGCAGTGCCGAATTTTATCCAATGTGCTCAATATTTCGTTTGCAAGACGACAATGAACTGATTTGTTTATAATTGTTGAAGCGAACCTCAAAGTTTCTCTTTTTTTCGTACCTGATAGAATCAAGAAATTGAGGAACTGACCAAGATCTGCGACGAGCTGATCGCCAAGCTGGGAACAGAATGAAAGACGTTCAGTTCATCAGCTCCCATCACTTCATCAGTTCCCATCTGCTCAAACTCTTACAGCAGCATGTGATATAAATCCTCCATACCAGCACAATTCAGCACATGTTTGTTGCAAAAGCTATGAGATATCACCAGGTGTCTATCATTTTCACCATTATAATTACCAAATGTTTGAAGAATAAGTATCATCCTAAGATGTAAAGATTTGTTGTTGATTGTTTGTGCATTGCTGTTTTGTTTTTGTTTTTTATCCAAGAATTTCCATAGTTTTTTACTGCATGTGTTCAGGAACTGAGGGAGAGGACGACACAGTTCCTTCTTCGTTCCAGCACACTTTCATTTGAATGACCTCTGTTTGAAGGCTGCAGAAAACATATTTATACTGAGTGCCTGAACTGATTGAATTTTATTATTTTCTCTGTAGAATTCTTACTGCCTTTTCTTTTGATGTTGTTCATAAAAATATATATATATTCGGACTTTGCTACATTGGCCAAAATGTTTTCTCTGATTTCTGAGTGTAGAGCATTTCTTTGATTTGATCATATTCTCATTATGCAGTAATTGTACCCATGTGCCATATTGCCTTTTTTAATTCCTAAACTTTCCTGCATGAGAAAAAAAATCTCCCATTTTTTTCTGGTTTTCTGTGAGTCGAGATGTTTCTGATGTGACTCCTTTTCAGTTCAAGGATAAACCTTAATTTTCTCATTTCAAGCCGTTGCCAACTTGTACTGTATGCAGTATAATTCCTGTATGATCAGTATATTTTGAACTTGAATGCATTTGCAGTGGTATGGCTTTCCCTGTGCTTCATAAGGTGTTGAAGACCTGTATTGTAGGGAGCAGATGTTTACCTTTACTCTCATGAAAAAAAAAACATCCAGCTAATTTTGCGGTCAAAACTGTTGTATTTGGCCTTGGTGTATCACAAACTTCAACAGATTTTGTATGAAAATCTTTTGCTTCTGCACAATCAGATGCCAAATATCACAGTGATCCGAAACGGACTTTGGCGTGGCTCCACGTCCTGTCGTGATGTCGTACTCAGTTGAAGCTGCTTTTCGAAGGAAGTTCATTGTTGTGGTAAAATCTGTATATTTTATACTTAATGGAAAGAACATTCAGAGTTACGTCTCTAATATTTGTAAATGTAAGAACGGAGTATGTCCTGATTATATGTTAACTGTTATATTTTGTGGATTCCTGAATAAATGGATAAGATTTAATAATATATCAATACTTTTTAAACGGGACTGCTGGGAATTTGAAAGTGAGGTTCTGCGGAAAGGTTAAAGACGGTTGAGGAAATATCGCACGGAATCTTCATTCAGAATAAATCTAGATTAGTTTGATCTAGAAACTGCAACGAGCAGATAGTCCAAGCTGTTCGGCGTATAAAAGGCCATCAGTGTATTAAACTATGTGATAAAAACAGCGACGCGTAGGCAAAAAGAATCATTCATTCAAAAATGAACCGAATGCTAAATCTTTGGGGTTTTTGCTGTTTTTCCTCAGTCACATGTAAACCCTAAGGTGATGATGGTCTAAACACAACATCCTATCTAAATCTTTTTTATACCAACATGGTGAATACGCTTTGTGTAATTTCAGAAAACCAGTGTGGTTGAGTAATCTTTATGAGTTTGGCTTTTGCTGCTGGGTGTTTAGTCTGCTTCAGTGTTTCCTAGTTCTGCAGGAGCTTGGCTGAAACACAAACTCTTTTTTGTTGTTGTTGTTGCTTTTCTAGTCTCAATCATTGAAAGCTAGAAATGTGATGGAAAAAGTGGTACATTATGGGCTTAGGAAAAGATCCACACACTTTTGAAGACATTTCTAATAAACAATCTCTAAACTGTAGAGCGTGCTGAACATGCCTACATTGTGCCTCTTGGGTTCTGTTGACTTTTACTGAAACATGTAATTTACCGCAGCAGCCACTAAATGTGAGAACAAACTCAGTATTTGCATGCAATTACTTCTACAAAAGGCTGAAAATAAAAGTGTATGTTTGACATGCTCCTGCATGCAAACGTGTGATTAAAACAGTTTTATGATTATACGTTTGGGTTACAAATGCACATAAAATGTGTTCCTTTCGAGGATTTAGCATGTCACAATCGTCTGTCGTTTGTTTTTTCTTGCGTATTCTCTCCACAAGGGGGCGTCCTGGAACAGCTCAGGGTGACTAATCACACACAGGGTGTCAAAAGAGGAGAGTGGACTTTCACTACACCTTTATTTTATAAATTCTATAAATCTATGTTACATTTGTGAAATGATTCTAATTATATTAAATATTTTTTAAAGTTGTCTGTGAATCTCCGACTAGAAGAATAACTACTACCACGAATTGGTAATTAACAATCTATGCTTTCATTTTCATGGTTTTGATTAGAAAGGGTATTTGTATTATATTATTTGAAAAAACGTATTTTAGAAAGGCAACAAAAATACCTTAATCCGGTGTAAAAGCGCTGTGATTCACTCGTTGCAAGAAGACTTTCCATAGTGAGTCGGGGAAACGGTATCAAGTCCTCCTCCTATGGATGTCACACGGTGTTTTGTAACCCTGGTGATTAGAGCGGAGGAGGCGGGGTCAGGATGCTGAGGCGGCCTTTCATTGGCCGTCCGTGATTTTGAGGAGTGGGGCTGGGAGGGAGCTGCCAGCTGTGCGGGGAGTCCAGATAAAGCAGCCTGGAAAGAAGTTGCGGGACAAAGAACCAGAGTTTCTCACTCCATCCTCTGTCACAAGGCTGGGAGCCACTCAGCCAAGGTTCTGGAGGGTTTCGGTCTGCTGGTCCTTCTGTATCTCCACAGTAAGTAAGTCTTTTCACTTTTTATTTATTTATTTATTTTTACGTTCTTCCAATTGTGCAAAAACCCGCACTCGGGGGGATTAATGCCTGATATCCTTTTGTAATCTGAGAACATTTTCGTGCTACCCTCCCTTTTGCAATTGAGACATTACAAAAGTCTGCTTTAGAACTGTTAGTTATTATTTACATTCTTTACATTTTGTGCTCGTTTAGACTTCAAAATTAGAAAGTGAACTAATAAATAAAACAGGGCTACACTAGCATCACACTTTTAGCCTTGTTAGCCTTCTGCACTATTACATGTGATTGTTTTGCTTTTATGCTACTTGCAGTGTTTTGTTAAGCTATTCACACTCTTAGCAAAAAAATAAATAAAAAAGAAACAGAATACATGATTTTTAAAACATTTAAAGTGTAGGATGTGTCATTATTCCGCCCCTCATTACTCTGTTGCGCCTTAATAAAATCTTGTCCAGCCGTCTGCTTTCACAAGTCACTGAATTAGTCAACAATTGATTTAAATAATCTGATTTAAACAATTGCTTTATTCTAAGCATAAATCCAGCTGTCACGTGAAGAAATCATTCCCTTTTCTCTTTTTTAAATTTTAGCTAACAACACATCACAGGTGCAGAAAATTATCACAGCTACAGTAAAAGCATATTAAAAATAAATAAATCTAAGCAGAATTTGAGGGTTTTTTTTGTAAAAACACACAATGGAAGAACTCTTTATCTGACAGGACATCAGAAAGGATTGAAGCAGAGTTCAAATATGTACAATATTTCATACTTTGAACATATAAAGCAGCTCTATCCGACACATTGTCTGAAAGTGGAAAATCTTTCTGTCTATATCAAGTCACAAATTGTTGACTGTTAAGCATTAAAGCTGCTTTTGCCGCCTGTGCCGACGTTTAAGGGAGATAAACCACATGTTTTACTTTGACTCCCAAGTGACGCCCGCACACAGTTTGACAATTTATTGACCTTTCACCCAACGAGGTGTTTGTACAAGCGCCTGCAGTTTGTTGGGCTTTCACCATGACGTCAACTCGGAAAGCTGCTTCCCCCTCGTTCCATATGTAATGACGAGGAGGTCTCCTCCTAACGTTCCTCTTTCCTTACCTTCACGCCCCCGGGGATTTTTGGTCCCAGAGCTGACAGGTTCAGAGTTTTTCCATGAAATATTAAGACTGACTTCAGTTTTCTCTCTGAACTCAAGTTCAGAGAGTTCAGATCAGCCTCAGGATCCAGATCAGCAGATAAAGACACAAGCAGCACCCTTTCTTCAGGAGCTCACATTTGCTCCCAATTTAGCTGCCAGACAGATACAGAGATCTGCTGCTTCTCATTGTTAACCAAAACTCTCCAAATTCTGCTTAGAGGGCTTTTTTTTAAATTCTGAATTCATATGTAAAATGTATGTTATGGAACAATGTTTCAGTTCAGTCAAACTTGTTACAAAATACTGGAACTGTGGTAAAATTTGATTCTATACTCATGGCTGCATAGACGCAGTGCAACGATGCCTTTGGAAAACTGATTTAATAGCCAAACCAAGATCTTGTAAAGATTGCCCTCAGGCCCTCACATTATAGGCAAAAAGAACCACAAACCACGGTTCAACTATCTGGAAACCAAAAAGGAAAGAGCTGGCCACAGCAGTTTTGCAAAGATGATAATAAAAGTCATATGCCATTGTATCTCCCTCCAGATAACTCATCGTTTCCACGTGCCATCCCCATAATGGTGAAACAACTTTTACTGACTTTGCTGTGCATGTCGGCGCTGAGCAGTGCCCAGGCAGACGCCAGCAAGCCTGTAATCCAGCTACGCCTCGGGGGGGAGAAGAGGAAACACTACGAGGGCCGAGTGGAAGTTTTCTACAATGGAGAGTGGGGGACAGTGTGCGATGATGACTTCTCCATCTCTGCTGCGCAAGTGGTGTGCAGAGAGCTAGGCTTCCTGGATGCTGTGTCCTGGGCTCCCTCTGCCAAGTTTGGGAGAGGGGAAGGTAAGGAAGAACGGGTCTGTTATCAGAAAGTCCAGTAATCCAGTAAGACCAAGTCAAGACTTCCTGAAAGGCAACCAGATAAATCGGGGTCAGGCTTTTTACGATGGCGTGGGGGTAGAGGGGAGTTACTGTATTGCCCAACCGCATGCATTCGAAGGCAGGCAGCAGATGTCGGCGTTCAGCTCCAGGTTTTTCACGGGAATCTCTGAATGACTTCCAGGTTTTCCGTGTCTGAGTGGTAATCCTTTCTGGTGCTGGGTTTCTCATCAGACGTGAGCGGGGGCACATCAGTCCGTTCAGAGCGGGGAAAGACTGAAGGCTCTGTAACCCAGACATAATCTCACCTCCGTTCTTTTTTTTTATTTTTTATTTTCCGACCTATGCAGTTTCCTCTGTTGCCTTAGGAACGCTGATGACATCCCCATCTCTGTGAAAGTTAGATGCTGGTGGTCCTGTCAGTCATAAATTCAGTCAGGACTACAGAAGCAGGGTAATCAGGTTTCCAATTAAATTCATGAAGCACAGCAGTCATTGTGGAAACTTCTATGCATTTATTCATGTAGATACTGTGGCTGACAAGCAGTAAATCTTTATACTTGTAATGTCTGGATGGAGAGACAGCATATACTTTAAGAAATGCTTTTCTGGCTGAGTGAGGAGGGAAAAAAAGCCTCATATAATGCTATGTATGGAATTTCTGGCATTTGGAGGTAGCCATGAGAAACTCTTGGTTTACAACATGTTTATCCTTCATCATCCACCAACAATAAAAGAGAAGAGAGACGTTCCTTCAGTGTTCAGAGTAGCCGGTTTGTGTTTTAGTCTTGCTGAAAACAGTCAGCGATCAAAATTGTATCCCTCTCTACAGTTTTTGTTTTTCACACTCCTTGAACAATCCCACATTTTGTCATGTTGTGTGATGTGCAGTGTTGGTTTTCTGTCTCGCTTAGTGGTTTGCATTCAGCTGGAAAAGACCAGTTTTGGTCCCGTCTGACATTCAGATGCACTTCTTTGGGTTAAAGAAAACTGCAGACAGCAGTTCTGTCTTTCTGCCAATAGCAGCTTTCTTGATGTGGTACTTACACAAATGCCATATTTCTTTTAGCATGACAATAGTTGTCCATTTTAAGTGAGTTCTCCCTGACCGTGAGCTGTGAGACTTACCATTGCATACCTTGGCGGGTATGAAGTGGGGCCATACTCTTTCCATTTTTGGATAAACATAGTCGATCCAAGACTGGAATTTTGTTTCGCAACCTAACTCTGCTTTTAACTTCTTCACAACTTTATGCCTGACCATTCTGCTGTCTTCATAATGCTTGAAGACTGAGCATCATTTGCCCAAACCTTTGTCCACAGATGTTCTCTTAAGCCTTCTTAGAACCACCATATTTATAACAAATTAAACTACACAGTTTACTCTGCGTGGTAATCAGCTGATTTCTGAAAGCAGCCATTAGTCTGTTGGTCTATCACCCGAAGCCCAAGAAAATACTTTTAAGTTTTTAATTGTAGCATTGTTGCATATGAAAAACGTGAGGGTTATGAATACATTTGTAATGCATCCTATAACCAATACTTCTACACTGAAGATAGACATTTACAAAAGATTTTGATTTGCGGCATAATGATATAACACTTCCAAGAACCTCCTTTTTAGAGTAACTTTTTACAACAATAAAGTTAATAGATCGCTATTTATAGCTTTTAGTGAGACTCCACAGGAGCACTGTCCTCTGTCCAGTTTAGTTTGAGTATTTCTTGGCGGCCTTTTTGCGATTACAGCTCATTATTAAAACGAATGACTCAATTCAACAGTCCTTTGGCTTCTCTCTGTGGCAAGTTAAAGCCTCTGGAAAAAAAATTGTAATTGTGGTTTCACCACAGCACTAATCATGGATACTTTTTGTTTAAAAAGTCCACTGAGACGTTGCTGGATCTCGCCCTGTAGCAATTAAAGGCAAGACTTGTACTATAAGTTCTTCCATTGTTCTGCCAAACAGAAGTACTCAGGGAAAAGGGTGGATGACCACTTAATATGCAGTCACTCTGTCGGTATGATCGCAATGTTCTTCAGAAACACTTTAAGGCCATTACAAGGATGAGCGGCACGTTGAATGCTCCCAAGAGTACAGCTGTGTGGTTTTCCTCAGGGGTGATTCAGACCTGCCAGCTGTGCGGCAGTGGACATGTACCTGCCCGGCTTTGGCTGGTTATGTCAGGGA